AAAAGCTTATCGAGTGGTTTTTCACAGAACGATCATTTTCAGATGGGTAGAGGTGCTTCGTAAAAATCCATATAACGACGCTCGATGCTTGCCAGTACGATCGTGCATTTTGGCGCTAGGCATAAGACAGTCAGATCGTTAACAGCCTGATTGGTCGCCATTTGAAATTAATGAGCAGAGCGCCGCTTGGGACGGTAATATCAAAAAAATCTTAACCTTCAGCATGCATGATTATCGTAAATTCATTTGTTGATCGGTCACCAAAAAATGCAAATTTGACAGTGAGCAGATGTCGTGAGAAAAATCCTCCTCTTTTGGTTCATTCGTTTCGGAATCTTTTGGCACTGCTGCAATCACATTTGGCATTTTTGGCTTATCGGCATCAGCTTTTCTAATTGCCCCCGAGTTAGCGGTTTTCCCGCCAAAACTTTGAGGCGCTCGTATGCGGGAACTAGGCGTGCGTGAGAGTCGGTATCGCGGTTCTGGGATGGCACTTGTCGGAAACCCACAGGCAAAATTTTAGTAGGCCTAATTCGGAGCGCTACGAAATTGTCAGCATCGGCCGGCTACAACAGGCATTTTACGCGCCCGTGCTGGCGGAAACGATGACTTAGCGGCAAGGCGCTGTGAAACTCGGCTCCCGGGGATTCCGCAGAATTTGACTGTTTTAATGTCGTCCCTAATTTGAAATAAAAACTTACAGTCAGTGCGAGAACGTGCTTGCAACTGAAAGCCAGGCGACGCAGCTTCCGGTTCGAAGCGCATGCAGTCGACTGCGATGCGGCGCACACAAGAACCATTCGCAACGATGCTCTGAATGACAGAAAATGAGGCACAAATCGTAGCTTGATCGTTATCACGTGGTAACAGTGCGAAGAAGCATGAGAATGGACGAGGGTGAAGGAAAATTTGAGATAGAAACAAAATTTTCCAGACATGCTCCCCCGAAGAAAAAGTCACGGAAAAAAGGGGTTTCAAATATGCGATACCCTAAATTAGCGGAATTCGAAATGCCCAGGGTGCAGGACGGATGTTCTACGAATTAACGAAAATGACAGCGGTTCGCT